TAGTTAGGGCTTGGTTGGCATAAGCATAAGTATAAACATAAGCGAAAGACTTTCAGGCAATCAGCGAGCATTATACTGCTAATAGGAACCATTTCCTTATTCAACATGACATCGACGTAAGCATAAGCATAAGACTGAGTGTTTGTGCTTATGCCTATGCTGCAGCTGTGTTCACCCGTGCATAAGCTTGTTATGCTTATTCTTCTGCTTGTGTTGCAAGTGAGTACCGCGCTTAAAGCCTGTTTCGCACATCTGATATAATTATTAGTATGAGGGTGAAGACAAGTACAAGGTTGTTCACACTAGTAAAGTACGCATGCGCAGTGCCAGTTAGATCATTGATGAAACAGCATAGTGATTGAATGAACTTATGCTTGTGCTTACTTTTCGGGAGTTCCCACATGTGAAATAAGCATATGCGGAAGAACAAGAAAGAAGGGAAATGTTTCTTTTTCTTGTGCTTATGAAGGCTACTGCATGTATAACGGGAGCTCGGTCGCCTGAGGCGCCTAAGTTAGGAGTCCGGGCGAGTTAATTTTTGTTGAAGGAGCTTGAGTGGGCGTCTAAACATGGCGTTTTCAGTCGCATCTACATAGAAATAATTACAAATAATTCCTGATTTTCATTTTGTTCTACCAGCATAAAAATTTCCATTAACAAGCCTGTACGACCATCGCCGGTCATCGTGGATATGTGCAGGGACAATGCTAGTGGGTAAACTTGAGGGTTTTTCTAACTCGCGCTCGTTCCGACCGGCTGGGATGTTTCTAATGAAAGTGCTCATAACATCAGTCACACAATAAATTAAACTAAAACAATACTTAATCTGGTCTTGTTTTGCTTTGATCGTGAGAAAAATGGGTCAAAACAAAGGAACAAAGTTTCCCTCCACTCACAAAACAGCGGAAAACAGCCATATTTGAAATCGCTCTATAATGCATTGCGAACTTAGTATTGAATAAATTTATATCATGTACGCTGGTGGATTGTTTTTTGGCTGATACCCAACTAACGAAACTCTATGGGAAAAGCCCTGGGAACTAGGTTATAATTCAACAGTACAGTGCCTCTTTCTCAAACATATATATGGATAGGCGGATCCCTAACTAAAACCCTTCGATAAGTTAACAGATTTTAACAAATAAAGTTGAAAGCAGGGTAAAATTGTTACCCGCAGTGGCTTTCATGTGTTTTGTTATGACGAAGTTCACTGAAAATTGTCAGCATAAGCCAGTTTTAAATCAACCTCTTTCTCAGGGTCTCTCATCTTACCGCCCCCTGGAGTGAACCCTGGCACACGCTGGTCACGTGTCTTCCAGAATCTTGGAGATGACAATTAAATTATTGAAGGGATTAGTGGCCTAGTAGGAATTTTGTCTATACTTAGCCTACGGGAGTACGGGATGTATTGTCACCAAAATTAACCAGGATCAATATGATTTTCTCCCGTGGGGGCGGGGGGGTACTCTCAGAAAATTTGGGTGGGGGTGTGTGGCCCACTTCCCAAAACCCTTACCCTATTTATGACCAAAATCTGTGATTTTTCCTACCCTATTTGTGACCTGGCCAAAAATTCGATACCCTATTTATGACCGTTGCGGGTGGCCCAGTTGCCTTATACTGACGTTATGAAGGGCTTTTGTTGACGGTCTTATTGATAATGATGAAAAAGTAGCTTCTTCTAAGAAATATACTCAATTAAAGACGAGAGTGTTAAAACCATACCCTATTTATAACGAAAATGGCCAAAATCGATACCTTGTTTATGACTAAAACGGCTGAAAAACCCTACCCTTTGGGGCCGCACATACCTATATAGGCCATATAAGGGAGTACCCCCCTCCCGGGGATGTTCTG